AGTGAGCAGCAGATCCCGGGTCCATCGCCATTCCTCCCGACACCGCAGGCCCTGTCCTCCCGTGCACTTTTTCCCAGTGGGCAGGGGAGCCCAGCTGCTCTCCAGATGTGGTCCTGAACTGTGTGTTCTCTTTCCCTACTCAGGCGTTCTGCGATGACGCAGTGGGACTGAAATTCAGCCCTGTCCTGTACCCCAAGGTGAGACGTCCCCCCTCCCCTCCCCCAGGGCTCCACGGCTGGGCTCGGATCTGTACACCGGGGGCTCTGTGGGAATCCTCTGCATCTTGGTGGGGGTTTGTGGGGTCTCTGTGATAAACCTCCATGTCTCCCCTCTCCTTGCTCATCCTTCACAAACTGGCCACGCCTGGGTCTCCGGCTGGAGACGTCCCCAGCTGTGTGCAGGCGGCAGAGGGCTAGCAGGGTGGCAGCTTCTCCACCTTCCAGCTCCCCTGCTCCTGCAGCCCTGAGTCAGTGCTGGGGGATGTTGCACCTCTAGCTGGGGATGGAGGCTGGTGCAGACCTGGTCAGCCATCACAGGAGAGTGAGGGGGGCAGAAGGCAGAACCCCACTAAAAAGGAAGAGGCCAGACTGCAGCTCCTCATTGACAATGTTACCGCAGCTCTGAGGCCTTACAAGCCCCTGCTCGGCCCTACATCATAAACCGGCTGGTTCTAGTTATTAGTTTCCTTAGGACTGTCCTAGTCTTCACCCCAGTTCTGATGTGGGCGTGGGGGCGGAGGAGGGAGCAATAATAACACAACAAACCAACAACCCACTGAAGAACCATTATGGCGGGACAGGACTTAAATCACCCACAGACAGCGAATTGCGTTAGATCAGCCGCAGGAAGAGGCCCGTGCACCCACTGCTGCTCTGTGAGCCGGCGGGTCTGGAGAGAGGCTGGGTGCAGGGCTGAGCTGAGCCTGCACTGCGGTCGGCGCTGTGGCCGCTGGGCTTGCTGGGGCGGGTTCGGTCCATGCCTGAGTCCCAGTTCTGACAGCCAGGAAGCGTGAGCTGAAATGTTTGGCGGGGAAGAGAGGCACTCTCCTGGCTGGACATCCAGAACCCCCTGGAACAGACACCTTAAATGTTCACGATTGGATAGGACACTCTGCTGATGGCTGAGCTCATGACAGGGCCTCTCTGCACAGAGAAGGCGCCAGAGCCCTTCTCTCAGGCACCTCTTCCCAGCGCTCTGGGCATCCATAGGCACTTAGCGGTAATATGCTGCGCTCCGCTGAACACTTTCTATCACTCCAAATGCCCTTCTTTTTATAATTAAAGCTGGATTAGTGAGGTTTAACCAAACATTACAGCCCCACCATAAAGGCCCCACTTAACGACAAGTTGTGCAGTTTTTGTTGTCAGATCATATCCACGGAGAGAGCCTAATGACGCCCATTTGCATAGTTCTCTCTGTCACTTGGGAAGCCTCCTGCTCTGGTAGCAATGGAGGAGCAGCTGGGTTTTCATGTTTTCTACATTTGAAGGACTGCTTAGTCCGGCTGGGGATGTTACTCTGGCTGGTGTGTGTGTGTGTGTGTGTGTGTGTGTGTGTGTGTGTGTGTTTAAAAAGAGTTTAGAATGTTCCTTGGAAGGTCTCCATGGCCGGGTGCCTCTTCCCTGGCAGGGCAGCTGCTCTGCTCCTCTGAGTCATCCCAGCAGCGAGTGGGTGGCTCCCTGCGGGTCGGCCAGCAGTGCTCTTCCAGGGGGAGCCGACAAGTGTCCATTTCCCAGGCAGCTGCGGGCCTCCCAGAGACGTGTAATGTGTGGCAACCTAACACGGGCCTCGTATTGCGGCCAGACAAGTCGTGCCTGGTTTGTTTCTCCTGTAACATGAGGTTGGATCCCTCCTTTGTATTGCAAAGGATATCCCAATAGCGTCCAAATCTTCCCTCCCCCACTGAGCTGGGTCCACTCTAATCTTTCTGGGGAAAATTACATTGATGATGATGATGATGATGATGAGGAGGAGGATGATGATGATGATGACAGCTGCTCTGTGCTCAGCACTTTAAGTGCTTGGTCTCATTGAATCTTCACAACCACACATCTCCACTTCACGGATGAGGAAACCGAGGCCCAGAGAATTAAGTAGCTCACTCACTCGGATCTGTAAGGGTAAAAGCAGCAGATTCCCAATTGGAGTTTAGCGTTTCTGACCCTCAGGTCCCTACTCTTGGAAGCGCAATGGAAAATCAGATAAAACCAGTGGTCAGGTTTCTTTGCGCTTTGCGGATTGTATTGGGGGTGTCACTCCTAACAGGGGGCTCCGTGTAGTCCTCTCACTTACAGATAAAGGGGATTGAAGTCCGGCCGGAGCAGTGCCTTGTCAAAATCACCTGCTGATTACAGGTGGAAGGAGAGCGGGTGTCACCCTCGCTTACCAGTTCTGGGGGCCTGGCTTCACTTTTCACACCACAGGTAACACACTGGGGTAACATCAGTTCCCTGAGTCCTGCTGGACCCCCTGTGTGCCCGGGCCTTGGCTGGCACATCTGGATGGGAACGGAATCCGTGATCCAGAGGTTTGGCCACGACTGGGGAACGCTCAGGTGTTGAGACGTAGCTAAGAGCTTTGGAGTTGCATCCTGACCGCCTACTTCTGACTTCACCCTCTCTCCCCTTCTGCGTGTGGGTGTCTCCTGTCAGGGGGCACACT